TTCTGTGTAGGATCACAATAGCTCATCTTGCTGATACCAGGCACTGAAAACACCAATGTGTTCCAATATTCTGGTTTCTTCAATAGTTCATATTAGTCATCATAATAGTTTAATAGTTTCTTCATCCACAGCTTTACTCTGCTTCCAAAGCCCTTCGTGAGATGGGGCTGTATAACCAAGACCAGGGTAGTTCCATTCTGCTGCTCAGGATGATGAACCTGAAAATCACTCCTGAAAGACCTCAGCACTCTCAGGATGTAAAACCAGATGATTAGAGATGTAATGGGACAGTTGCTTAACTAGAGCTGCTGAGGCTGCTGGACACATATTATTTAGTAAAGGATGACAGACGGTGGTGGGGTTTGTGCTCTGGGCAACTGAGTGGCATGAATGCATGCACGTTTGCGAGGGAACAGAGGATGAGGCAGTCAAGAGCTTACAGGTCAAAAGTAGCTAACAAAAGGAATATTGTTGTGGGCATCTTCTACATCTCAATCAAGAAATGAGGAAAGATAAAGCCTTCTTTGAACAATTGGAAACTGGTTCAGAATAGAACAGTTCCCATTTTCTGTAACTGGAAAAATCTGCTGACTGGAAAAACCTCCATCTTCAGACACAAGATCTTCACTCACAAGGTCTGCTGTCAGGCCTGCCAGGTGTCTGTGTCTAGTAGCAAAGTTTGGAGGATAAAGGTACTAATCAGACTAGAGGAGGACTGAGTCAGGGATGCAATAAGCTGGACATACACGGGTCCAGGAGGCTGGATTGGCTACATCTGAAAGCACTGAAGGAACTCACCAATGTCATTGTGAGACTGCTTTCTATTGATTTTCAAAGGTTGTGGTGATTGGTGAAGTCTCAGATGGCTGGAAGAAAAAAAACATCATAACCCACTTCAAGAAGGGCAAGGACAATCTAGGGAACTGCAGGCTGATCAGTCTAACCTCAGACCTCTGGAAGATTATCAAGAAAGCCTCCTCAAAGTCATTTCCAGGCACAAGATGGACAAGAAGGTGATTTGGAATAGCCAGCATGTATTTACCAACAATAAATCATGGCTGACTAACCTGATTGCCACCTTTGATGAGATGACTTGCTTGGTGGGTGGGGAAAGAACAGTAAATGTCATTTTGCTTGACTTTAGCAAGTAATTCTTCACCATGATGGTGGTTAAACACTGGCACAGGTTGCCCAGAGATACTGCGAAAATGCCACCTTTGGATATTTTCAAACCTGATCAGACAAGGTCCTGAACAACCTGATTTAACTTCAAAGCTTTGAGGTTTGAGCAGCTTTGTGCCTGCTTTCAGCAGACACTTTGGACTAGACAACCTCCAGAGGCCTCTTCCAACTCCTGATGTTTCTATGATCCTATAACCGCCATATAAATTTATATAAACCCCACAATGTTAAACCATAAAACCAGAAAAACTAAACAAAGCCAAACCTACATAGCTTTGCATATGCAATGTAATGCTGACATGCAGGCACATCCCATGAGGGGAATAAAGAAATGTATAATATATAACACCACATGCTGATGGAAATAAGACGGAAGCACTATTATGAATGTCAATGTACATGGAACAAACTGAGATGGGATCTAAGCATGCAGGGTAAACAATATGTGTCACAGCTCCTATTTTATGATTCAGCTTTACTGGAGCAAATGATTTACAATAACACAGTGAGAAAAAAAAAGATCTGGTCTGCAGAGGCAAAGCTGAGATCAACATAAAAATATTTTTGCTATGTTTATTTTGTAATTATCCCACTGAAACACACTGCCAAGAGCTGGAGAGCTTGTGTCACTGCATTCATTCTGAAGCTCAGTTAAACTAGTCAGTGTCTGCAGTACTTTATAAATGAACATGCAGAAGATTAACCACAGCTGACTTTTCATCTCTATTTTATTTTACAGAAGCATTGCATTCTGGGGTGAGAAGGAGAGAAAGTTCAGGGTAAACCTGCAGTTCTCAAATGACATTTTCATAATTTAACCAAAACAATATGATACATAAGTAAATGCCATGAAATTTGTGCATATTCATCTCTCTGAAGAGATCAGCTCCTTCTTAAATAATGGGAAGAGAATTAATGAAGCCTACCTTCAGTGAAACACTTCAAAATCTGGCTTTCTTTATTATTTTCCTGACATTAGGACACTCAGTTATTCCAAAATTTGGTTACAAGCACCATGAATGTAAACAATTAAAACTTTCATTTCTAGTTATGTATCAGTAAACAGAACAGAAACACTTGGAGACAGAACCAGTGGAGACAGCATAAATTCAGAGTCCACGGAAGCTCATTTGGCTTTCTTCCCATTAGGATTAACTTGGTAAAATCTGGAGCTGAGATGTTTGTGGAGCTGTCCGTTAAGGCCACACATGGGCCTCATGATTGACACCCAAGCTATCCTGTGCTTGTTTGCAGACCTCCAGTACCAGTGTTTCCTACTGTGTCAGGAGACAGCCCCCAGATGTGCTGAACTCCTTCTTGCAGAGGCACACCCTAGGCGGAAAGATGTTTCAAAGCTTCCTCTTCATTAAAAGCCCCAATCAGCTTTAGTCAGGCATCTGGATGTTGGCATGATTCCGGATCAGACAGACACCTCAGCTCAAACTAGTTTTTGATTTCATGTTCAGATCAAATGTTATTTATATTATTAAAATATTGTGAAAAGACTTTTCTTTTTTCTGTCCCAAATAATGGATACTAAAATTTTTAACAGATTTGAAACAATTTTATCCTGTTGGTTGTGATATCTGGAAGTGGCTAGTGTTGGTAAAATGGGTGTCCCAGAAATAAAATGCTATTTCATAATTTATTTTGTAGTACCAGGAATACAACAGAAAAGAATGAATCAAAGTTAACCCTGTGGAGCCTGACTGTCCTAGGCATTGCTGCTTGTATGGTGAATTGCAAGCTGATGGAAAAAACTACTGGTCTGACCTCACAATGTTTTACAAGTAATTTGGCAGGGCACAAACAATAACATGGAGCACAACTTCAGATAAATCAGGTCTGCTGTGTTCAGAGCGGGTTTGATCTAAAGGCCGCGAAAGTCAGAGGAAAGACTGTGTGGACTCTGAAGGAGGGAGTATCGAGCAGGTACACACGCACACCATGACAAATCCTTCATTGGCGCTATTTCTGGTCTCAGACATTTCTTAAGAGAACAGTTTACCCAAAACTGCAGTAAGCCTAAACAGTTTGGTGGGCAGGAGGAGGTTGATAATCTCCTGTGCTCTTAGAGCTTGAATAGATTTTCCTATTTATACATTATGTTTAGCACAAAAGACAAGGTCTACCTCTGGTACAAGCTATGACAGCATCTCACAAAGAGGACACCTGGACTTCAGCCTGATCCTTCTTTCTCTTCTGGACTGGGGGTGCAGGTTTAATAGAATCCTCCCTCCTCCCCTATAAACCTGTACTCAACTTCCCCCAGGCTTTCTTCCAGAATTGTTTTTACAAACTGTGCACTTACTTAAATGGGCCAGTGAAGCTGTTCTGCTTTGTGTAACTATTATTTAGAGTATGCGTGTGCTTTTTGGTTTTGTTTTGTTTTTCCAAAGCAGCAACTCTTCTGAGTAAAACTACCTGGTAATATAGCAAACATTTTTTTCTCCACAATCGCATTTTTATTCCATCCACCACAATGCCATCATGGCAGGTCTTCAGCATCTGAACCTGTATAAAGATTACATAGAGCATTATACATGCACCTTTTAACATGGTCATTTTCTCACTGGCTAGACCAGAGCTGAAATCAGTGCCACTTCTCTGCCACAAATGTAACTTTTCAAAAGATGCGTGATGCAACCTGTACATGCGACTTAAATCCTGGTGAAGGTACTTAGCTGTCATATGAACAGCTTTTTACTTATATTTTTTTAAAATATCAAATTAATTTGAGCAAAACGGGTTATCAAGAATACATATTTTAAAAACATTGCTTGAAAAAACAGTAAAATTTGACTTTTTTCCCCTCTGGATAGAGGTATTTGAGAAGAAATGTGTTTTACCCAGAAAGAAGTATGCTTAGACTGGAAATATGAAGAATATGTTTCTGCATTAATTATTTTTAACTGAAAAATAACAACCCCTCAGAAAATAGGGAGTTGTCATATATTTGGGACTAGTTGTGCAGCAATATATAAAAACACTGGGTTGTCTTCCTTGTTTTGTATTCCAAAAAGGTAAGCTCTGCATTTCCTGAGTGAGAAATAGCAAACATTGTTTATTTGGGTTACCA